TGCACACAGACGCTTGCACACACACAGACGCCTTTACACACAAACACTTTTACACACAAACACTTTTGCACACAAAAGCTTTTACACACAGACGCTTTTACACACTAACACTTTTACACACAGACGCTTTTACACACAGACACTTTTGCACACAAATACTTTTACACACAGACGCTTTTACACACTACACTTTTACACACAGACGCTTTTACACACAGACGCCTTTACACACAGACGCTTTTACACACAGACACGTTTACACACAGACGCTTTTACACACAGACGCTTTTACACACAGACGCTTTTACACACAAACACTTTGACACACAGACACTTTTGCACACAAAAGCTTTTAGACACAGACGCTTTTACACACTAACACTTTTACACGCAGACGCTTTTACACAGAGACGCTTTTACGCACAGACGCTTTTACACACAGACGCTTTTAGACACAGACGCGTTTACACACAGACGCTTCTACACACAGACACTTTTACACACAGACACTTTTACACACAAACACTTTGACACACAGACACTTTTGCACACAAAAGCTTTTACACACAGACGCTTTTACAAACTAACACTTTTACACACAGACGCTTTTACACACAGACGCTGTTACACACAGACGCTTTTACACACAGACGCGTTTACACAGAGACGCTTTTACACACAGGACATCGCAATTTGCTATAGTTTTGGGCGATTGAACCTCATCTCATGCGAAATGGTCGCGTTTGACGATCGAACCTCATTTCGTGTGAAAGGGTTGCGCGGAGCAACTTGAAATTGCAACTTTACCTCAGTTTTTGACGATCGAACCTCATTTCGTGCGAAAGGGTTGCGCGGGACAACTTGAAATCGCAATTTTACCTCAGTTTTTGGCGATCGAACCTCATTTCGTGCGAAAGGGTTGCGCGGGACAACTTGACATCGCAATTTTACTTCAGTTTTTGACGATCGAACCTCATTTCGTGCAAAAGGGTGCGCGGGACGACTTGAACTCGCACTTTTACCTCAGGTTTTGACGATCGAACCTCATTTCGTGCGAAAGGGTGCGCGGGACACCTTGAAATCGCAGTTTTACTTCAGTTTTTGACGATCGAACCTCATTTCGTGCGAAAGGGTTGCGCGGGACGACTTCAACTCGCACTTTTACCGCGGTTTTTGACGATCGAACCTCATTTCGTGGTGAAAGGGTGCGCGGGACACCTTGCAAATTGCAATTTTACCTCAGTTTTTGGCGATCGAACCTCGTTTCGTGCGAAAGGGTTGCGTTTCGTGCCGTCTCGTTGGCACTGCCCCTGCCCCCGCCTTCAGAAGAGAAATAGAAAAGAAGGAGAGGGCAAGAGGGCAAGAGGGCAAAAGGAGAAGATGTGAAGATGAGAGGATGTGAAGATGTGAAGATGAGAAGATGAGATACAGACCCCCACTATTGAAAGAACCCTGCGCTCAAACGCTCTCGGGAATTCTCGTCGCACCTGCCAAACCAGTCGAGAACTGATGCCTTTGTCACTCGTAAACTTCCAAGCGAATTGAGGAGAGACATTGCCGGTCGCCGAAACTGAAAAACATGTATCCATCATTATCCATCTACCTGCAATGACCTGGGCAAGTTTCTTGGACAAGTGAACCTTACTGAGTAAGTAAAGAGTGCCTTGGACGAGGTTCAGCAATCTTTCTGGGGATCCGCCAATGATTCGATGAGACCCATTAATATACGCGCCTAGCTCTTGAGCCTCCAACACTGCTGACCTCCTCTTTTTGCTGGAAGTTTTTAAACAACATGAGCATCAACACAGGCATCATCCGCCAGCTGGTGCAGGGCTTCCCCTGCTCTTCTCGGCCCCAAAGAACGCATTGAGTACTTTCTGTCCCCCGTAAACCAAAACAACTTTTCATAAGGAATCCATTCACAAACGCCCCGATGAACCAGCTCGTTTGCAATTGAATCAAGACCACCATCACGAACATGTACCTTTCCCTGAAGACGGGGCAGCGGCTGACCTGTATCTTCAACCAAATGTTTCATGGGATCCCTGAGAAAAGCACACGAAGAAGCCGACAAAAACCTAGCCAAGTCAATTGATCCTCCACAGTCTTTTGGGGGGAGTGCCGGCAGCACTTGTTCAAGTGAGAGTGGCCTACGGGTGCCTACCCTTCTGCCACGCAGCTCTTTTTCAACAGGCTCAGAAAAGCCTCTGTGTTGCCACCGTATCTTGCACTCGGCTTTTGTCCAGCGCCCGGCCGGGAATGGAGCGGCAGCTCTTGCGAGGCTATTGCAGCTAAAGCAGCCTACTATGGTCCATGCATCCAGGCTATGTTGCTTCACGAAAATCTCCTCATGGACATCTTCCAAAGAAGCTTGACGCAACAGCGTGACCGTTTGGCCCTGGGCCACACATCGGTGCTGAACACGCTCTCCAGCATCCTTGAATTAGGCTGCAACCTTGATATCTCTGCTGCGTTGCTGAGGACCCATGCCAATACGCAGCCCGACCCCGCCAGCCAAAGGCACGACTGCCAAATGTCAGCCAGTCGCACGGCCCCAAGGTCCAGTCGCCTGTGCGATCTCGCGCATCCCGGTCGCGTCTGCGATCTCGGGCGACCTCGGGCATCCCGGTCGCCTGTGCGCATCGCGGTCGCCTCTCCGACCGCGATGCATGCGAAATCGGGCCTTGGAGGGGAGCCCGCCCAATCGACATTGCCTTTTTCGCCGCTGTTCCAGCCCTTGCTCCGGCCTTTTCATTTTCCTTCTCCTTTGCCCTTCTTGCCCTTGGCGCCATTGTCGCCTTGCAAAGACCACGGGCCTTTGATGGCCAGGTGGCCTTCTCCACGAGCTTGGAATGTTTCCTCGATTTGAGGACCAAGCTATAGGGGTGGCCACCGACGCGTCTTCCAATGGATGCAACTCCATATGACGCGCCTTTTTGTTCTGGTCTAGGAGACTTTGGTGCAGCGCAATAAATCTGGCTGCCAGGGCGTCCCCCATGTCCCCGGACCCTAATAGGTCCAGGGCGCAGCCCAGGTTGTACATTTCTCTCGTTGGCTTTGGGCGTACGGCACTTTTATGTGCTGGTGAAAATATGTCACAGTTTTGACACCCGAGGTCACCTGATGATGCCCTGCTGGTAAGTCTGCTTGTGCGTCCTGTTCCATCTGGTTTCGCACATGCTCCGTCAGCAGAGCCAATATTGACCCGGGCGCTGTCGAGACTTCTTCTTGATTGGGGCCTCCAGGACGGTCTCCAAAAACTCTCCATTCTCCAGCGTCCTCTTCCTCTTCTTTCTCTTCTTCTTGTCTTTCTTGTCTTTCTGGTCTGAAGTCCCCATGAGGGCATCTGCGGGCGCCTTTAGAACCTGGTGGTTCTTCTTCTTCTTCGACCCTGAACTTTTCTGCGCACAGCTTAATGCCAGCGCTTTGCCAACCAGTTGGCCGCTCAAGCTCGTGGCCTTTTGAATCCTTGTATGGGACTAGCGTCCCTTGGTTTTTCCCAGGGTCCTTGTCGTCCCGGTATCTCTTCTCCTTGGTCTTGGAACCAACTGTAGGCGCATAGCTCATACTTTCCTCCTCCTCTCCAGAGCTGCCATATTCCTCCAAGTCTGAGCAAACATGCTCTATCTCTGGGGCATTTCCACCACCACGATGATGTCGACGACGCACATCCTTCAGCCTCTCTCGCAATTTTTCTTGCTGTTCTTTGGTGACCTTTCCTCCTCCAGCTTCCTCCTTCTTCTTTCTTCTCTTTTCTGCGGCCTTCTCTTTGTCTGTCTCTTTGTCTGGGTCTTTGCCTTTTCGGGGCCGCGCGGGTCTCCCAGCGCCCCCTGTTGCTGCCTGCTTCTTCCGGGCCTTGTGTTTGGGCTCGGCGCCTGCTGTCACCGCAGCTATCCATCTCTTCATGTAAGTTGCGATGTTCTTTTCCAGGTAGTCGGCCTCGAATTGCGAGTGATGCCACAATCTCAAGTGAGTCACATGGAGGGCCGCTCCCTAGCGGTCGTCTGCATCCATGTCCATGCACGGTTTCAGATGAGCAGATGAACGAGACCGCGCCCCGCCCCAAATACGCAACGATAGCCTGTCCCGTGGCCTCTTCTTCGCAGCCCATGTAGTGAGCCCGTGGATGTCAGCTCCAGAAAGCTGTGGCCTAAACGGCGGTGTACTGGCGGGTTGAGATTCAAAGCAGGCCTGGCTAGGAGCTGATGCTTTCGCCCCTCGCCTGGTTGATGTCCTCTTGCAACGGCTCCCACGATCGCCTCTCGCCTCTTTCCTGCTCCTCCTTCGGAGGCGCGCTCGGCCGAGACCAGCGCCTTGGCAGGCTTGATCTACCACATGACCGGGTAGCCGGGTAGCTGGTTCTGGCAACGACCCTCAACGCGAGCTAAACCACCGGTCAGTGGCCTCAGTGCCCGCACTTGGTCAGTAGTGGTGACCATGAGGTCACTTGCCAGGAGTCAAGCTCCTTGGCAGCTCGCGCCCAAATGCTTCCCAACTGGAGCACCCCAGGCACACCCGTGCACTTATTACAAGGAGGGTGCGGCATCAGCTACAGAGAAAACCCTAGATTCAAGCCACAACACGTGCGGCGAACTTGACACTCAAGCCTATTATTCATGCAGATGCAGAAGACATTCCTAGCAAAGGCCTGGAGGCATGTTCCCATGAAGTTCCAAGGAAGGCAAAAGTTCGAGCAAGGAATGGCCCCAGACATTGAGTGGCCAGCTTGGTGAATGCAAAATGTCATCTGTGCAATGGCGGAGACAGTCGAAACACTTCGTGTATGCAATTCCATTCCGCCTTGACTGACGTAAAAACAGCTGCAAATGTGATCATCCCAAATATAGATGTGTACACTGTATACGGTATACGGTATACGTATATATTATAGCTATATATTTATTCACTTCTTTACTTACTTATTGACTTATTGAATTATTGAATTATTTATCAAGGAACCCCAGTTTGAGTGACAAACGTGAACCATGCGGAAGGGCTGGCCTGCGTTGGTGTAACCAGGGAACGGGCACACGGGGGGCTTACAGACCTTGCCTGGCCATGCGGTCACAAAATCACACAAGTCAACGACAGGACAAAAATATAGTTTACGAAATACCAATTGGTAGACATGAGAGGCACAACATACGTCATTTACAAATTCATACCAACGAACTCTACCTGCACTGTCTGTGGCCCAATCCGCTGAAGCACAGCTCAAAACAAAAAAGGTAACCGGAAAACGCGTAGGCTTCCAATGTCAGACTTAGAGACAATGCCACAGAAGTGCGTCTGCATGCATGTCCCTCAAAACCTTGGCGATATTGTTTGTGAATGGTTTTGCAAACACATCAGCCAATAACAATACAAAGAACTCATTTTGGACAAGTATGCACGCATATGCCAAAATATATGTAGACATCTAAATTTTTATGGATATGCACAGGGATTGCATTTGTGCTCGTATGTGTTTTTTGTATATAAATATATATATATACATATATGTGTGTGTAAACATACATGTTGTGCGCACACATACATGCATGCATACATACATACATACATACGTACATACATACATACGTACAGCATACATATATATATATATATATATATGCACACTTGCAATAACAATTCAAATGCATAATGCAATATATATATATACATAAACATGAAGAAAACTATAAATGTATATTTAATTTTGAATAGATTAAAAACAATGAAGTTGCAAACATGCACATATGCGTGTCTATATGAAGATATATACATAGCGAATTTCAAAAACATCTTCATATTTTGAACAAAATATGAAGAACAATATTTCCATGTGTGTATACATGCATACGTAAATATATATATACAATTATATACATATTCATTAACATATAATGTAGCATGCGTGCGGGTAGTGGCTCACTCAAACTCCAAGTCAAGAATCAAATTGCCACTTGAAGGAAGAGCTTGCCCAATCCAATCACCCACTCGATCACCACAATCACAACCACAGTCGCAATGGCAAACTCAAGCCAACTTCAACTACGCACTGAAATAATTTATCGTTCGCTCAAAGCAATCCAGCAATCACTCAATCACTCGCATCAGTACCGAAGCCCTCCGTCACTGCCGCGACTGTCCGTCACTTCCACCACTCACTTCCAACCCACTCATTCACGAACCGTCACTAACCCAGCAACAATCAGCTTGAACCTACCAACAACACAAACCCTTCCTGAAACATCTTTCTTTTGTGCCTCACGGGATTTGCTACCATAGGTCGTAGCAAGTTTCAAGGCCCCGCAAGGGGAGCTCGCTCCTTCAGGTGCTTCTTACTGATCACATACGCATTCCATGCGCACTACCATTTCAAATGTGTCCAACTAACTACCCATCGCTATTGAATATTGTTGCTATCCATGCTGCGCTTTCGATCCGTTTTCCATGCAGAGAAGGTACTGGTAGAGAGACCACGGGCTGCCATTGGGAGGTCATAGGCCATGCCTCAGTTGCTCACCACAGGTCGCTATCCTGGCAAGGGACCCAAAACAGTGTTGCAAGGAACATGACGAAGAGATACCGGGGTAGAGTCTTCAAGTTAACTGTGCGCAGATCTCTGTAAAAGATCGTGTGCAAGATCTCCGATCTCCTTGACAGGATCTCTGTAGAAGCTGCTGTGCAAGATCCCTTTGCAAGGATATCTGCACAAAGATGTCTATAAGAGATCCCGACGCAAGATCTTTGTGAGGGATCTCAGATCTCTAAGCAAGACCTTTGTTCAAGCTCGCTAGGAGAGATCTCTTAGCAAGATCTCTGCTCCCTTCACAAGGTCCCTGTCCAGGATCTCTCCAAGACATCGCTTGGCAAGATCTCGGTACAAGCTCTCTATTTAAAAACTCCTGGCGAGATCTCTGTAGGCGATCTCTATATACGATCTCTACACACGGTCTCGACCAGAAATCTCCGCGCAAGATCTCTGTAAGAGATCTCTACACAAAACCCTGTCTCAAGCTCTCTACAAGAGAGACCTCCGTGCAGGACTTCAGAGATCTTGACAAGGGATTTCTCACTGGTCTTGACAAGAGATCTCTTATACAGACCGTGTACAGAGATCTTGTCTGGCCACAACGACAGCGATCTGACATGCCCAAAGTGCCGAGAGGATTGCGCGAGCGTTCTGAAAACAGGCACCGCACCACAGCGAGAGCGATCTGACACACCCAAAGTGACGAGAGGGCTGCCCGAGCGATCTCAAAACGAGCACTGCGCCACAACGCGAGCGAACTGACACGCGCAAAGTGACGAGAGGGCTACGCGAGCTTCTGAAAACAAGCACCGCACGAGGGTCGCCCGAGCGATCTCAAAACGAGCACTGCGCCACAACGCGAGCGAACCGACACACGCAAAGTGAAGAGAGGGTTGCGCGAGCACGTGTTACATTTTCAGAAAATGCTGCACACAGCACGAAACATGACCATCATTGTAAATGCGAAAACGTAGGTATCAGGCACTTGTTCGTGGCTGTCTCTGAAGCACTGCGCCTGCCACGAAACATGATTCTGAGGCATCCGAAGAATTGCGCCTGCCACGCGTAGTCATCATGTACCAACTCAAAAACGACGACAGTTTCACACAACGAGACTTTCAACCCTTTCCAAACGTCGTCCTGCGCCTGCCGCAAAAAAGAACTTCTGAAAGCACTTTTCATGTCGACCCACGCCTGCCAACGTTTTAGCAACGTGCAGCAAGTACCACTCCTGCCACACGGATGAAAAAGTGTCCGATCTTGCCAGCCAGAACGACGTTCAGGGCTTAAAAATGAGTCGAAAGTTTCGCGCCTGCCACGAAAAATGAACATAGGCCAAAAAAGGAGCATGATGTGCCGGTACAAGTAAACCTTCGGAACAAAGGTTTTCCAGTCCAAGTCTCGCGCGAGACTTCCTTCGAAAACGGAAGATCGAGGAACTCTTGTGCTGTTAGTGTCACCAAATTTGTCGAACACAGATGAAACCACCTTGAATGAACACTAGGCCTGAACAACTATAACTACCGTAAGAACCCCAAGTGTGACTACACTGCTGCGGGAAAATAGGCCTGAGGGATGAAGTTCAGATCGCTGCGTGATTGCAAAATCTCGGTGTGTTTTGCAACTGGCGAAAATGCTTACGACAGACAGAATGCTTGTAGACAGCCCATTCAACTTAGTACAGCCTAGCAAAGAAGCTACGATTTTCACGTGCACCCATGCAATTTGGGCAAGGCGCAGCAGCCTGGAAAACGAGCATCCATTTGGTACCAACCGCCCCTTCAGACAAGACACTGGAAGCAAATGCGGCGCTTGCCACACGCCCCAGGTATTACCAGCGACCACCTGCAAAAAAAATGTTGCCACAGAAATTCACATGCCTTCTCAACCAATCACAGGCAAGCCAACTTTCTGGCTGCTTCATCCAAGGTGCTGCAGATTGCCCTTGTGTAGCCACCACTGTTCGAGGCCTCAGGCGGATATGAACACAGAGGAGACTGAAAGGCCATTGGAGATTTTGAACAGTGAAGAAACTCGGATCTCCAGCTGATATGATCGATGGATAGGGCCGCCTTTCTGTGAATCTGGGTAATGTTGATAAAGCAACATGGCACTATTCAATCAGACCTGGGAACTATATATATATAGTCTAGAGAGTCAGCTGCCCCTTGGGGACATGAAGAACAACATTCCGAAGCCAAAGCCCAAGTTTCAAAGAAGCTGCATCGTCGATGCTTGCATTCAGGTACCGTGAGCCTGGAATGGCGGGAGTCAAGAAGAATCTGTGAGAAACTGAACAAAAAAACAAACAGCTAAAAAGGGAGGAACGTCAACTGACTCGCCAACCAGATCCGTATATCCGCCGACCCCGGCAGACGCAAGGGGGAGCGCGCCAGGGAATAAGACTTTTGACCCTTGTTTCGGGAAAAGTCGGAGCGGCAGCGGCGGCAGCAGCAGCAGCAGCAGCAGCTTGTCCGTCATTCAGGGGCATTGTGTTTTGCTGTCGGGAGCTGCTTTGCTGCTTTGGCAAGCAGCAACCCACCAGCAGCAGCAGCAGCAGCTCGTATACATTCTGTCTTTTTTCCCGGGGGTGCCTGCGAAGGGTTCTTCGTAAAAAAGCAGCCGTTGTAATACATCTTCACACCCTCACATCTGCTGATCTACATCTTCACACCCTCACATTTGCTGATCTACATCTTCACACCCTCACATCTGCTGATCTACATCTTCACACCCTCTCATCTACATCTTCACACCCGCACACCTGCAGATCTACATCTTCACACCCTCACACCTGCTGATCTACATCTTCACACCTTCACGCCTGCAGATCCTTCAGACCCTCACATCTGCAGATCTACAGTAGATCTTCAAACCCTCACATCTGCTGATCTACATCTTCACACCTGCACACCTGCAGATCTACACCTTCACACCCTCACATCTGCAGATCTACATCTTCACACTCTCACACCTGCAGATCTACATCTTCACACCCTCACATCTGCAGATCTACATCTTGACACCTTCACATCTGCAGATCTCCTCTCGCTCTTCTTTCTATCTCTCTTAAGGCGGGGGCGGTGCCGCCGGAGCGCCACGAAACGCAAACCATTCGACGAAATGGACGTTGGACGTCAAGAAACTGGGGGTAAATGTACGAGGGTTGAAGTATCATCGCAACCTTTGCGATTACCACCCATGTACCTCTATTTAACCAGAAATTTGGTAGATTGTTAGACGTAAAAACATATCCACTATTCTATTTGGTGAGGTCTTTTACATGCTGGTCTCTGTTCTTTTTGTTATCACTCTATGTTCTTCCGTTTACCCGGTTTGACACACAGCCTAGAGGGCTTTCTTCCCAGTTGCCACTTCCTATTTGGTTTTTTCTAGGTCTTACTGTGATTGCTCATTTTTTTTATGTGCCCTGCCTATTGGTGTCTCTTTATCCATCGCAACCCTTTCGCACGAACTGGATGTTCGACGTCAAAAACTGATTTTAAATTGCGATTTTAGTTAGTACGTTGCAACCCTTTCGCACGAAATGGACGTTGGACGTCAAAAACTGATGTAAAAATACGATTTTAGTTAGTCCATCGCAACCCTTTCGCACGAAATGGACGTTGGACGTCAAAAATTGAGGTAAAATTGCGATTTTGAGGTGTCACGGGCAACCCTTACACGCGAAATGGAGGTTCGACGTCAAAAACTGAGGTAAAATTGCGATTTTACTTGGCCCATCGCAACCCTTTCGCACGAAATGGACGTTGGAGCCTACGGGTTGAAAACCGTCCGAGCGTTTTAGGCATTTTTTTATATGTTCCTTGGGGTGGGGTGGGGTGGGGCAATACACGTACTTGCGCCCTCCCATGATGTTACGCCACGGCGCATTCACTTGCACGCGCGCACATACGTCATGCAAATGTAGTTGGAAAAGCCCTGTTGGAGAAAACAGGTGCGTACTTAGCGAAGATGTAGAGATCACCGGAAAAAATGGCTGCCGCTGAGGTTTTGGGCACGCTGACTTCCCAAAAGGAACCTTTTTCGCACTCCGACATGTCAACTATATACAGCAAATCCCAATGAAAATTCTAAATCACAATAGAATTGACCGTCATGGACAACATAAAAACATGAAAAACACTGCGAAACGCATGATTGACTTCTTGCCAGTCACATGAAAATGCTGTTTTTACTTGGCCCATTTCCAACCCGGCGGGACGTTGGACGTCAAAAACTGAGGTAAAATTGCGATTTTGAGGTGTCACGGGCAACCCTTACCCTATAGATCCGGTTAGACTAAAAACTTGCTTTTAGGTTATAGACTAAATCCTACCTTTTAGGTTAATTCTTAAATAACCTAAATCATAGTTTTAAGGTTAAACACCTTTTAGGTTATTCATATAAATAACCTAAAACTTCTTTAGGTTATTCATATAAATAACCTAAAACTTCTTTAGGTTATTCATATAAATCACCTAAAACTTCTTTAGGGTATTTCTGTAAATAACCTATAAAACTTCTTTAGGTGACTAACATATTTAACCCAAAAGCTTTGTTTTTATTTGAAAGGCATTGGCAGATGCCTTTCTTTGGCTTCCATCAGAGCAAGATGTAGCAGTGTTGTCTCATGTGAACAGCCTGTCAAGTGAAACAAATCAAGTGAAATGTCTGGTTGTTTTGAAAAAAATGAATGAAAAGAAAACAAGTGAATGGCTGCAAGTGAAGGGCCAGGAGAAGATACTGGCAAATGGAACATGTGAAGTTTCAGGTTGTTTGATGTTTTTCTCTGTGACCCCGCATGTCTTTCAGTAAATGAATCAAAGTGAGGAGTGTCAAGGAAAGGTTTGCAGGTGTACATCCTCCACATGTGGTTGCCAGGGGGAGTAAGCTGCTGGATGCCGCATTCCAAAATTGTGGGTTTTCTGACATGGAGAAAAGCTAGTGCAGGTTCAAGGGCGAAAATTGTCAAGTGAATCTTGTCAAGTGAAGGTTTTCAGCTCCAGGTTTCCCATTGGAGGTGTCCTTGTATTTGTTGGCAAGTGAAGCTGCGCAAGTGCATGTGATCAAGTGGTTGTGTGCAATTCGAGGTTGGCACTGGAGTTATGCACGCGTTGTTTTGCGAGTGAAGTTGTACAAGTGAAGGTTGTCAAGCGGATGTCTTCAGTTCAAGGTTTCATATTTGAGGGGTAAAAGTTACCAAGTGAATATTTTCTGTTCCGGTCTTGGCAGTGGAGGTGTGCAAGTACTTGCTGGCAAGTAGAGATGTACAAGTGACGGTGTTCAAGTGAATCTACTCAGCTCAATGTTTGGCAGTGGAGGCGTGGAAGTATAGATTGGCAAGCGAAGTTGTGCAAGTGAAGGTGGTCAATAGCTGTGCTGAGGCGCTGCGCCAAAAATGTACAACCCGACAGCGGCATGAACGACATGTAAAGAAAACAAATGCAAATATTGAATTCAAATGCTACTTAGCTACTTAGTACCAGTGTGTGTGAGACTAGAAGTTACAACATTATTTATTGGGCAAAAGAAGTCTGTAATCAACAGACTAAATTCTGTGAACATTGCAGCATTGCTTTGTCCTGTAACATACAGGTATGCGTTTTTTTGGTCGCGAACCTTTCTGTTTGTTACATTTTGGCCGCGGAACCTACATGGATTGCACGAAATTACATTTTTCTTTCCAGTACTGCCTGAGACAATTATTTAAACCTCACAGGGGGAAATGCGATCCTTTGGAAGCAAACAAAGAAGCACAACAGGGAATAACAGGGAATAACATGTGAGATTTCTGACAAATTAGTTAACTTCTGGGAGAAAGTTTCAATAAAAAAGAAAACATCGTTTGGACAAATCAAGGAAAAAGTCATTTTTGGAAGAAAATTCAAGCGAAAACATTTTTTTTGATAAAATCCAAGGTGCCAGTGCAATTTCTCATTTTTTGAGAAAAAGTTTCATGAAACTTTCGGTGGCCAGATGAAAGTTTCATGAAACTTTCGTATGGAGAGCGAAAGTTTCATGAAACTTTCGGATGGCCACCGAAAGTTTCAGTGAAACTTTCGCCAAACTTTCGCCAAACTTTCGCGTGACTCTTTTTTCGATGCGTTTTCTAGGCAAAAAAAACATGTTTTTCAGCTGATTTTTTGAAAAAATGAGAAATTTCACCTTGGATTTTTAAAAAAAAATGCTTTTCGCTTGAATTTTCTCAAAAAATTACTTTTTCATTGATTTTTCAAAAATGATTCTTTTTTTGAAACTTTCTCCCAGAAGTAACTAATTTGTTAGAAAACTCACACATGTTATTCTCTGTTGTGTTTGGTTGTTTCCAAAAGATCGCATTTCCACCTGCGAGGTTTAAATAGTTGCCTCAGGTAGTTCTGTAAAGTATAGATTGTTGTACAACCCATGCTGGTTCAATCTATATTGGACCAAAATTTTCCATGTCAAGTGAAGAAACAGGTGAGTGAAGCGAAATTTTCTATCTTCAGGTGTTTATTTTAATTCATATGTATATATTTATACATATTTATTTAATTCACTGGTTCATGTGTTTTTTCCCCAGGAGGCTTGGGTATGACCGTTTTACTCCAGCCAAGTTGTATATAGTTTGGGTGAAACTACTCTGGCCGGGGTTTGGTGGTTCAATGGTCATACTCCTGTGAATGTTCCTCTTCAAAGCTCTCTTCTGTTGGGTCGTGCCACCTGAAGCAAGTGGGACTACATGTGACCGGCTGAAGCCAACGAAACATGCGAGACGTGAAAGTGGAGAATATGTCAAATGCATCTCCAAGACCACAGGTGCCAATTCAACATATGAAAATGCAAATGGGGCAGGTGACAGCATGCATATGGAAGAGGGAAGCCAAGGGAAACAAGTCATCATGTCGAAATGCTGTTCATAACAATCCAAGAATTGAAACTACAATGAAAAGAATGAAAGAACATAAGTCTGAACAAGGGTCTCCACAGGCTTCACTGGGCTTGTGCCCTCTTTTGCGTTCATGTTTTGCGGGAATGAAAAAGTGAAGCAAACCGATGGCATTCCTTCAGCATCTGGGACATCCTGGGATCCTTGGCTTCTCAAAAACCACTGGGCACATGAAATATCATGTGAAGATGACAAGTGAATCACAAGGTCAACTGCAGGGATCAGGTGAAAATCCAAGTGAAATGCCCAAGTGCTAGTTAGAATTACATGGTAAGATCTAGTTGTCAAGTGAAATTTCAAGTGAATGCCAAGTGAAAGTACAAAA